AGGGAGGCAGTGAAGGACAGGAAGGACTGGCGCAATATGGTTCATGGGGTCACGAAGAGTCGGACACGACTTAATGACTAAACAACAACAATATACCACTTTGCAAGTTATACATAAATGTTGAAAAATGAAAGCAAACAGATAATGTTTTGTGCTAGTAGAACATTTACTAAAGATGGGGAAATGGAGACATTTTAAGATGTGGAATTACTGGTAGAAAAATAATAAGTAATGTATGCTCTGTTTTGAGAAGTGAATGTAGAAAGAAGTGAAAATGGTTGTACTTAAGAGTGCATTCTAGCCCTTTACTACATGAAAGCAAGAGTAAATATGTCAGGAGAAACATTAAAGTAAGCCAGAATAAGGTATTTATAGTAAAAACTGAACCCTGGCAAGACGGAATGCCTCTGGGTTTGGGGTTCTTTGGTCCACAGAGAATTGCCATCTTTGGTCTTGGATGGGGTTGTGCTACCCCAGACGGACCCGGTGCATAATCTGGGGGTTCTCCTGGATTCACAACTCCTGCTCGAGGAGCAGGTGGCAGTCATGGCCAGGAGGGCCTTCACGCAAGTGCAGGTTGTGTGCCAGTTACACCCTTTCCTGGACTAACAGGCCCTGCTCACAGTTACCCATGCCCTAGTCACCTCCTGTTTTGACTATTGTAATGCACTCTACATGGGGCTGCCTTTGAAAAGTATCTGGAAGCTTCAGTTGGTTCAGAATGCAGCAGCCTGCATAGTTTTGTGCAAGCCTAGATTTGTACATGTGTAACCTCTCTTGTGGGAGCTGCGTTGGCTGCCGATTTGCTTCTGAGTCGAATTCAAGGTGCTGGTTGTCACCTTTAAAGCCCTACATGGCTTGGGGGCAGGTTATTTGAAGGACTGCATTTTCCCAATTTCATCTGCCCAACCCACCAGATCGGGGAGGCAGGGTATGTTACAGGTCCCCTCTATTAAGGAGGTCCATCTAGTGGGACTGAGAAGGGTGTTCTCCGTGGTGGCTCCCTCCCTGTGGAACATCATCCCTGCAAAGATAAGACTGGCCCCCACCTTGATGCTCTTCTGCAAGGCCCTGAAGACACTGTTTTACCAGCAGGCCTGGGGATCCCAGGTCAACCCAAAGCCCATCAAATGGCTAGTGTAAATGTATTATTGTCACCCAGGGGGTGGTGGGGGGAGTGTAGTGGATTTCGTATTTGGGATTTTTATTCCTGTAAGCCTCCCAGAGTCACCGTGAGTTGGGCAGCCATATAAATTGCTTGCTTGCTTAAATAAATAAAAGACAACAGAATCAAGAATGCTTGGGTGCTGATGAATATGGACTGTATACAAAAATGAGTGATTAATATGAAACAAGTGTACTGAGTCATACAAAGGGAACCAATGAGGATCAAACTGCAAAAACAGACATACGAAGGAAGAATGAATGGGTCAAGAAGAAGGGGGTGATCAAGAAAATCATGAATGGAGATCCATAAAGAGTGAGATGTGAAGTTTAAAGAACAAAGGACAACATACGTATGAAGCAATGAATGCATATGATGGAAGGAAGGATGGTTTGCAAGAAGAGAAAGGTATGGAGATGTATACTGAATGGTTGCTGAACAAAGCTGGTGAAAACCAATTTTAGTTATATTTAATTTTCTTTTTCTTATTGCATGCCTTTCATTTATTTGAATTATTATTTCTTAATCTTGTTATGGGCTATGCATAATGTTGCTTATCTTGAAAGGAAATAGCATGATGGGAATGTATGTATATACGTAAATTTATATATACTTGCTATTACGTTTCCTAACCTGTGAGCTGAATGCCTGTTCTCCCCACCCCTGTGCTTTTGTTACATTCATTTTCTGCATCATTACATAAAACTAAAAGGGATCACTACAAAAAAACACAAATGGTAACATAAAACATAACTTCTTCCAAGTCTTTACAGGTTTCTAGAACCTTGTGAATTTAAACATATGTTGCCTCTGAATTTTCCTCAGCCTTGGTTTGGGAACCCATCAAACTGTCATCCCAGTGCATCAACATTTTTTAGAGTTAGCAATTTCACTCGAATTGGATTTATTCAGAAAGCCAATATTGATGTTTCTAAGAGCAGAGATATATGGAAAAGCTGCTAGTATCATAAAATAAAAAGTAATCAAATTGTTACATTAAAACTTATTTTAGAAAGGGTGCATTAATATGGATTGGGAGAGGAAGAAAAATTTAAAAAGCAGTTACCTTGCCCTTCTCTTAAACAAGTTGGTTTTCTTTTTGAAAACAAAACTGTATTCATCACTTTGTCCATAGGCAATGACAATGTTCTCCAGCTCTTGCATCACTGTCTGGGCGCACTTGTTCATCAACTGAAGAGCACGATCATCATTAGGTTTCTTAAAATCATGTTGCTGAACAAAGCTTCAAAAGCAAAAACATATAATTAAGAACACTGATTTGTTACATCTGTTTAAATTATTCTCCTGTGTTACAGATACTTTATTTTTTGAAGGACTGAACCATAAATGCATGTTGCATTTAATTTATTATTTATTTAATTAATTTCTGCATTAAATACAAATATAAAATATTTTTCTTCAATATATTTGAAGAATATGTACTAGGAAATAGTCTATTTCACATGACACAGTATTAAGACTGCAAACTGTAACTCACAAATAGTTAAATGCCCTCTACAAGATGAAACAATCCTTTCCTGGCCTTCCACTTTTTCTTCAGCATGTGCACACCACACATTTATATTTATTCCTCCACATCATTTGCTATACTTCTCTGTATCTTTCTATCCTTGCAAATAATCTGGGACTCTTTGGTCCTATTGCAACATTATGGAACAAGGCACAATAATAGGCAGAAGAAGAAGCAGAGCTAGCAAGTTCCAAATGCTGCAATAGGACCAAAGATACCCAAATTCAAAACTGCACTCAGTTGTGGAAGCTCATTTGATGGCTTTGGACTTATCACTCTCTCTCAGCAGGATCCATTCTGTATTCCACTCCTTGTCACCATGCTAGTTTTGGAAGTACCTTGGTTTTTAGTGCTGGAAGACATCAATCTCGATTCTTTGGAAGGAGGTTCAAGGAAGGCTTTAGAGTTCATGGCTTCCATGGCAACCATGGGCTTAACCCAGATAATATCTGGCCCTATAAATACAGATAGACCTATGCTCGCTGAGGTAAATATGTTCATCTCAGGTAGAGCAGTTAGTGTGCAATCTTGATAGAATATTAGACTGATTTTTTTGCAATGCACAGATCACACACTGATCCAAACAACATGCATCATTGCCTGTAATTCCTACAGGCTGAATACTTTAGTTAAGATGGTTCACCCCAGGTGTCTAATGGATCCAAAAGCACTTGGGAGTTTCCTAGCAAACTGGCAGGCAGTTCTGCTGAAAACATGGCAGACTCCTGAATTAGGATGTGATCCGAACACTTGAACATGATTGCTTCCGAGTGGCCTCTCTCTGATGGTAAATCATGGGAAGGCTCCTTGATTTGCCATGGACATCCCAGAGATGATGTGACAGAAGTGATACCTGGAGCACTGGTGAAGCAAATCTGACCAAGCAGGAACAGGAGTACAAACTCTTGTTTGAGCCCATAGCAAGATAAGACTGGTGAAAGCAGCAAAGTGATTAAGTTGCTTACAATCACCATTGTCTTGACTCTTCATAGGCAACGTTCTCCTGAGCAGAATTTTGTGGTGTTATCTAGGATTTCTTTCAGCCTATGAACTCCAATGAAGTGAGCAGGGTGCTTTTTAACATGACCTCTGACACCTGAGGACAGATCCATGCTTCTCCTGGTTCCTTCAAGTGGTCAGAGTGTGTGACAAGCTGGTTTCAGAAGAAGTCAATGCATCTTTGATGGAGAGAGTGATGCTGGCTACCCGTTCCACCCTGCCCCCAGCTCTCCTCAAGCAGCTTTCCCTGGATCAGGCTGTTTTAGACAACCTCACACCTTTTGGGAAAAGTTGTTGAAACGATCAGGAGTCTTGTTACAGAGGATTTTAGAGGAAGTAGATTTTTCCTTTTTCAAACTAGATTCAGACCTGGGGATTGAACAGAAATGGCATTGATTGCACTGATGGATGACCTTCATAACAATCTAGCTGGGGAAAGTGTACTACATTTAGTTTTACTAGACTTCTCAGCAGATGATATTGATCTGTAAGAGTTGGAAGTTGCAGGCACTGTGTAGTTATGCTTCTTCCTGAGCAAGTGGTTCTAGTCAACAGTGGTAGAGGAGGAAAGTCAACCCAATAGGTGCTGACTTACGGGATGCATCATGATTCAATGCTCTCCCCCCTGCTGCTCAACATCTACATAAAAGCACAGAGATAGATCGTGGTGATATACCATCAATATGTTGATGATAGAGCTCTACATTTCCATTCCA